ATCAATGAACTTCATTATATCATTAGAAAACATTGGTTTTCACTGTTTCAATTGATCACTCTTCAGATATCATTTGACCAATACTATTACTTCAGCAAAAACTATAATATACTAATTTACTGTTTTGTTCAAATTAATATCATGTTTATTCTTCTTTAAGACATACTTAGCTAACAGCATTTACATATTTAAACATGATAGGATTATTACATTATACTTTTAAATATTTTAAAACATTACACTTTTTCATACTTATATTCTAAACATGGTTACTATGACAACCAAAATATTTATTTTAATTATAATTGGTGGAGTTTGAAAAATACAGTATGTCTTAACTTTATATATTCCTAACTATTTGCAGAAAAACAAGAAACTATTTCAATATATTCATAGAATTTAGTTATGGAACTATAACACATTTTGCATTTTAACATTTCTGTTACTTCATACTGAGTGTATGTGCATTCAAGTCTTCTGAATTAATTCAAAAAAATTTCATTATGTTATTATCTAAATACTTTATATATAATTGCTGCCTTGTAAGATATTTATTTTGAATAGATGACTTGTAGTAGTGATAATAACAAATGCATGTTCTTCCATGCATAAATTAACAATTAGATAGAAAAATCTTAATATAATGTAGCTTCATAAAGGGCAAACTGCTTTTTAAAGACAAAATTAAATTTAATAAATGATCATAAATGTTTTTAATATTAAATATATAATTTCTATCAAGGAATAGTTAAATAAATTGCTTTTTGCTTTATAATTGACAGCTTTTGAGGCACGGCTATCAATTATAAAGAAACTGACTGTATTTTGTCAGCCTGGTGAGTACATTTTGAGCAAATTTAATTTTCATTACATATAAACTATTCATTATTATTTGTTATTTTGGATTATTTTCATCTTGACCTGTTTTCTGCACTGAGCATTTACTAGTCTCCTCATTCATACATACAGTTGGATGTGTCATTATACTTTTAAAATTTTCTATGTTTTAAACATCACTCTATTTTGCCACAATAGATCACCTTCCTCACATTTTCTAGCAAATTTTTTATTATAAAAAGGGATCTGCAATTCTATTTTATATTCTTGTTGTAGAATCTGACAATGTCTGTTGTATATGGAAGAAAACATTTTATTCCATTAAAATTATTTTATTTTTGTTGGTTTTTGGTGCTTGTGAAGTTATTTATTTGCTTATCAAGCCAGTATTTCTAACAGTGACTTTATAAATTACTTTCTGATTATTTAGGTAAACAACATTTATTTATTCAATTCCTACTAGAATGATGTAAAAGTTTGCTGAGATAAAAGACTTCTCGTCAAGCAAGATTTGACAGTCTTTATTTTCTTCGAGTCATTTCTTTTTGAGAACTTTCAAAATTAATTAATTAAAATGTAAATACCTAATTATTAATCCTTCAACAAATGATATGTAATATAATTGTAATTAATACATAATTATTAATATGAATATGTTAATTTTAAGTGTTTCCAAACTATTCCATAACTAGTGAATTCTACATTATTCATCAATTTGCTCATTCCATAATCAGAGCTCTAATTTTGTGATTATATATGTGAAATGTATTAAATGTAAATTATTATAATATATATATAACTTATTATAAGTGTATGAAGTTGAAACTAATCATATCTTCAAGATTTGTATATAAAATAAGTCAGTAGTGCAATAAATACATAACTATATATTTTTAAGTTATTTATAATAAACTGTATTTTTATTTATGCCTTATTTCAAAAATATATCTCTTAAGAAAATTAAAAAAAGTAAATTATTCTTTTTTAATTTTTTTTCTACGTAATAATCAGTAACCTAATTGATCTACTTACTTCTTGAAGTCTATTTTACATTGAAAAATTTAGTAATGATGATATTCATTCAAATAAATAATAATATATAATTATGACTATCTATATATAAATACATAAAAAAATTTAATAATTTATGCAATCTCAAAAACCTATTAAATCAAATTAGTTTAATAAAAATAGCATAAATCAATAATAATCATAAATAATAAATTTTCAAGTTTTTATTCATCCGTCATTGGCTTTGATTCATAGATTGCCTTTTTATATACACATAAAAGTGATAGGTTAAAGATACTGTTAGTGGGTCAACAAGACAATTGGATCAATCTGGAATAAACTGTTCAGAAGCATGACTACATTGAATCACAGAGAATATTGACATACATATCACTCTAAAGAATCTCAATTATTTTTACACAGTTAAGGAAACTGAAATTATTAAAAAGATTAATTTAGACACGGTATTGCTATATATCTATCCTACATTCACATAAAAATATTACGTATAAATAAAATTTATGTGCAAATTAAGTCCTAATGTTTTAAAACATTTCCAACTGTTGCACCAGCTTTATATAGTAATTCTTGAGTAAATTGTTTTACTCAAAACACTCAACTTTTAAATAGCTTTAAAGTAAAAACTCACATGATACACATTCTAAAAACTATTTCTAAAGTTTTTAGATTTTCATTTACAATAAAACAAGACAATTTACAAATATGAAAATATTTTGTTAAATATTCCTTAACAATTTTCATCAGAAACCAAATATTCATCTTTTTTTTTTCAATACTATTTTGTTAAATATTCCTTCACAATTTTGGCTTCATAAAAGTGTTGAAAAAATTATGCATAAATTAGTTACGAAGAAATGCATGATGTGTGTGTGAATGATACGTCATCAATAGAAATTATCATTATCTAATACTATCATTAAAGATTATTTCATCTTAGTAATTATTTAAACAAATATTTATATTGCCAATGAATACACATGAGACATATGTTACACTTATTTACGATATGAGTAAATATGTGTTCAATGACCTGAAGAAGCCTTAATTCATAAAGGCAAAAGTGCCATAAATGTATTTACTCATCAACATTCCAACATGACGAATATTACATTACGAACAAAACGTGACTTTTTATGTCTCGAGATTTAATTTTACCGCTTAAGATGACAAAAATAAAATTGTAATTTTATTATTTACCAACAATGTCAACACTAATTTTTATATCATTATATAAGTATTAAAGAAAACAAGATTTTTAAAATTTTGAAAAACTAAAATAAAATTTTAGAAATAATGTGTCTTTGATTTATAATAAAATATATATATATAAATGTTAAATCATTTTATTTTCTTCAAAATGAATTTTCAATGACTTTTTTTTTTAAATTAAGTTAATAATTTTTCTGTTGTTGAGTAACAATTATAAATTAGTTACATTAACTTACAATTTTTTATAAATTTAGATTAAACTTTAGTTTTGTTTAAAAGAAATAAATAAAATTTTTATCTGATAAATTTATCATCAATGCCAACAGTTGTCTATTGATAAAATTATATATATATATATTTCCAATTGAGCTTCAGCTAAATTTAATATGTAAAATGTTATATATATATACAGTTCAAACTGTCTATCTCAAAATTTACTTTCCCCATTGCATTTTTAGCTTAAATTAAATATATTTTCCAAGTTTGTCTCAAATAATTTTTCCCAAAACATCTCTGTCTCAAATTACGAACAGAAGAGTCAATTTCATAATCAAAGCCCACAACTACATTTTAATAACATAAACTGTAGTCGAGAAACGTCTCTCACAATACAGGTATCCCTCGATTAATGCGGTTAATTAATTCCTCGATCCTACTGCATATATCAAAATCCTACCGTTAATCAAAATATGGTACAGTGGTACCTCAGGATACGAAATTAATCCGTTCCGAAACTGAGATCGTATCATGAAAATGTCGTAAGGTGGATCATCTTTTCCCATACGATTACATGTATAACCAAATAATTTGTTCCAACGCGAAAAACATACTCAAATTAAAGCCAAGTAATACATTAAAAAAATAACTGTAGTAAGAAAAACAAATGAAAAATGCAAACTAATGTAACGTCATATGGTGAGTTTTTGTTCGTATCGTGGAGCAAAAATATGTTCGAATTTCATGTCGTATCCTGAAAATTTCGTATGCTGGGGCGTTCGTAACCTGAGGTACCACTGTATCTATGTTAAGTAAAGACAGCCATATATAAATGTATTGCCACAATTCATTTTGCACATCAATCAAATCCTGCACTAAACAAGAGATACCCGTGCAATACGTAGTTGCAATTAACGCTGCTTTTCTCCGATCAGATACGAGTCTGGTTTGCATCTTATTAGTCGAATAAAGTCGGGCATCAGAAACTATTGGCAAACCACTCCTATTACGGTATCAAAAATGTTTTATTTATACCTAATACAGGTGCATAGTGTACTTGCTATTGTATTAATAAAATACTATGGGAGGTATGGTAGATATCTCCAATCAAACCTATTACTGTTTACTGCATAGGAATCTCTATATCTTGAAATTTTTGTCTGAATTTTTTCCCATTTCCATGAAATTTGTGATCGACAGGTTCAATCGTACCCGATTTGATAACAGACATAACAAGATTAACGTTGGAACAAAATTGGAAGAAACTTGTACTCCGAGAACTTTTTTACCACAATAGGTGGACAAACGCACCTCCACATGCAAGTGTCAGAGCTCGCACGCCTCCTCTGTTAATGATATTAATTTAAAACTGGAATATTTTAAATCTAAATATAAAAATGATGTCATAAATTTCAATTATGAAATTATTGATTGAATATAAATTAAACCAATACCTAAAAATACCTAATTAAATTATAATTAAGAGAGGTAAACTCATTAAACATGACATTCACATGGATGAATTATAAATCCATTTTTCTAATAAAAAATGATTAAAATACATCAGCATTAACAATTATACAAAATTTATGTTTAATATATGAATTAATTTGTAAATTATTAAATATGTAATTAATTAAATTCAACATTATTTCACATCAACAGATTTTTGTAAAGATATTGTACAGCTTTGTGTCATGACTTACAAACTTCGTCTAATTTAGGCATATGATCCATCTTTTTCTTCTGTCCTCTGTTTATCTTTCCATCATTGATTTGTTTATTGCGATTGGACTTGTTGACAACCAGTTCCCACTGCCCGACTGAAGACATCTTCAATTTTCCCGACAGAAACGTTGACGTGTAAGTTGGCACTCTAATGTTTACAACCTTTATGCCAAATATTTCCGATTGCTACCACTAGAGGGATTTGGTAGCGATTTTCAAATATCGTTTGGTTTTTGATTGTGGAATTATTAAAAAAAAATTAAATAACATATTTTTGTAATTAATATTAATAAACATTAGTAATTAATATGTTATTTTATATTACCTATATTAATTTAAGTTAATATTTTAAAAAGTTTTATGTTAAACAAATCGCGGTGGCGGATGAATTCTGGATTTAAAAATTCAAATAAGTAAAATTCAGTTATTCGGGGACGTGTTTTTTTTTAAACACTTTTTGCTCTGTGGGCACTAACAGGGACTACTTACAAAGCCAATATTGGGTTCCATATCCGGACGGTCCAACCCCGGAAAAATTCCTGGGGTTTTTTGACCCGTCCGGATTCGATCCCGTGTCCCCCCCAGAGCGGTAGTTGACTGCTCAGCCATCCGGCCGTCGTCGTGTTAGTAGTGATGTAGTATCACCAATTGTTAAATAAAATTGTTTTATAAAAAGGATAACCGCTTGTATAGCTTTTGCGTTCTACCTGACAATTGTTTTTTGGCTATTTCTATTTTATTTAACTTGCATTTTTACATAAAAAGTAGATATAACAAATAAAATCTAGAAAATGAAATTATTTAGTTGGAAAAAATTCGAAATTTTGAAGTGTTGAGTGGTTTTTTATGGTTGAAAGAATCTGGCAACTAACTTGTTCTACTGTACAGGTATTTAGTGATTTGATTGGTGGAAAGGGCAATACAACACACGGACGATCTGGCAAAAGGAGCTTCCTAGAAGGATTTCTAAATAGGGACCAGCTTCCCACAGGTGTTAGACATGCAAATAAATTAAGTAAACTACGTATCCACCTCGTTGGTCAGACGCGAATCCTCGACTAGTGTTAGTGGTTTTATCCACTCGGTCACTAGGATTGCCCATAGTTCGGAATTTTAGTTATTTTTTAAAATGTCTTTAAAAAAATCATTTCAAAGAACAATAAAATGTTCGCTTTATGATGAAAGGTTCGACATTTGACGAAGTACATATCTCTCAACAGACTTTTCTCTCCGTTGTATCGACGTTAATTAATATGGAGATTATTGCGTAGTAGCTTATCCTCTGAAGAGCCACCGAAGCTTTTTGCTTGACCATACGAAATTATTCGCAAAGAGCTGTGAAAAATGTCTTCCGGGAGGTCTCTATTTAGGCGTTAGAGATGTGGAGAAAATCCGGAAAGCTCTCTCACCATCCGGCCGCTCCATTGTGGGCCTGGCCGAATCCATAATAGGGTCGCTAAAAAATGTCTTCTTAGTACCCACAAGGCGAAAAGAATTATATAAAAAAAAAAAAAACAGAAAACTCCACGTGACCAACACGTCCTGGTGAGATGCGATCCTACTTCAACCGAACTCCCAGTGTTCAGGGAACGAAACCACTTGGCCACTAACATGATTGCAGGTTTTTTTGGGCTCATTATTATTATTATTTATGTTTTTCGGAATTTGTTACTCTGAAAGTTAGCAACACTATATGTTGTGTTTTATTAATTATCAGTTTGTAGAATCATTTCAGTTCAGAGAAACATTTATTACAAAATCTATGACACTATGTACACACTAACTTTGATGCCCTTCTTATTGTCTAATAATCACGACGATCCTGCAGCGTACACGAAGGGCATTATTACAACTTATGATACTTCAATAAGAATACATAACGACTTTTTTTCCTAGCACTAAACAATAAATAACTAAAAACTGACACTTCTAACTGTGGATGTTCGCAGAATTTTTAGGGAAACAAAGCCTGGAGTCAAATAATTACATCAATAAATTTTTATTTAGTTGTTTAATTCCTTACTTTGTTATCGGTTTGTTTAAAGTAGATGTTGCGTTTTTATTGAAGACGTTTCCCTTTCATACTATATCTTATTCTAGTGTAAACATGGTTCATTCATATCAGAAATTCCAAAACAAACAAACGCTATTTTACACATTTTTATTATTGTAGATGTTATATCTGTTAAACTTCAATGTATTGAAGAAGTAATCAACTAAAAGCAAATAACTGCGATTTTCATAATCAAAAATATCGCAACTAATAATATATTCTTGCAGATAGATGCGGTGTCAATGGTTCTTTCTGTAACGCTGGTCGATATGTAGCACAAACCGAACAATTCTTCACAAGTGATTCTGTATCACGACTGTAATCGTGACATAAAATGTTGTAATCTTAATAGTATTTTATCAAATAGTTTTTGGATAATAGTAAGTAGAGACTTGTGGTCCGTGTAATTGTAATGTCTTACTGGAAAATAAATTGTCCAAATGTTCAAATTGTTAATTTAGCTTCATACAAAGATTATAAATTATCCTGTCAGTAGCATTGAAGTTTCTTAGAGCACTTGAAGTTTCTTGAATTGCTTGAATTTTTTAGGCAATTTGGTTTGTTTTGGATCGATGGAATAAGGCAACGCAACAGATGGGCGATCTGCCAAGGATGGATACATCCCGAAAGGTTATTTATTGGTTAGGCGGGTTTGCGCCTAACCAATGGGTTGGCCACATGAAATTTTCAGGTTTTCTTCACGTGCCTAATACCTTAACAAAAAGCACTTTCGTATAAAAAGTTTCTCGGTAAGAATTCCTTGGTATATTGTCCATTTGTTGTGTAGCCTTATCCAATCAAACCTTCAATTTACTAATCAATAAATGGAATTGTTTTCTCCAATTGTTCTCTTACAAGTGATACTTTCTTGGTTCTCACCCAATTCAAATAATGATGAAACCACAGAATAGAATGCACTTAGACCCTGAAAATAAATATATTTTAACAAAATTTTCAATATTACATTACAGGATGACCAGAAATTCACTATGCACCTACATTATATTATTTATTATATTATAAACAACGATATCTGCGCAATAAGATATATATTATATTCAGTCATATGCGCGATTTTTCGAAATGAAATAATTGACTTCAAATTCTTCAATGACACTAGTAACGCTATAATTTAGAGGCGGTTATGGACTGAAGACGAAAAACTTCCACCTATTTCCAACAACTGCCAGAATTCAATTCAATTGTTTGAATTCAAGAACGGAAGGGTTTCTGATAATTCCTTCATACTGTACACAGTTTGCACACTTTCTCTACACATGAGTGTAGAGAAACTTAAAAAGACATTCGGCCATCGGGGTTTTCCAGTCGTTATATCTTATGTAAGTTATTATTACGGTGTCTTTGAAAAAAACAGTTTATATACTCTTCCTCGAGAAATTCCTCAATGGCTTTTTCCGCGATCCTGCGTTAAGATCGCGGAATATATCGCATTTATATGTACAATTTTTAAGCCATTTTTGGTCCCCACTATTATGAAGTGTGCAATGGTATACTATAATTTAATTACGTGTAAAATGGTTTACGTATCCCCCACTGAAATTGTAAATGCCCAACGACTTTTTGATCATTCTGTATTATAATTTTGTATTCATATTGAATACAAAATTAATTATAAATATACAGTTTTATTTACTTAGACACAATATATAAAAACTTTTTAAAATAAGAAATTGAATATTCAAGAACATGAAATCAGTAACAAAAAAAAAATTAGTTAAAAATTTGCTTATTTTCAATCAAAATAAATGCAAATGGAAAACATAATAAATTATTTAATTGGATGAATTAATTGTATTTTTGTGCAAGATGGCCCAAAAGTGAGTTAACTATTTTGTTTTGTGTTTCTCGAGTACACTTCGTTATCATTTTAACAAAATTGGAATAAAATTACACAATTGATTAGAAAATAAGATAAATTTAATCTTTACATTTGTTAACTGATTAGAGATATGTTTAATAAATCAAGTGAAATCGTAATTCAAAAAACTAGCAACGAGTTGCGTAACTTTCCCGGCTGTTATGAGGATTTTTATAAAAATAACTTTTGTATTATTAATCATAATAAATACAGTGGGTGATAGCTTTATTATAAAATAGTATTATAAAATAGCAAAAGTTTCTTATAAAACTCAACTTTATCAAAGTTGAATTTTACAAGAAAAGAACTGCAAATGCTGACAACAAATAAAATCTTCATTAAGTCCGACCACACGCGAGTTATGACAAGTGACCTTTCTCTATCTCTTCATTTGTTGACCTTTCACAACCAAAATTTAATAGCACCAATGCCTCTTACACAGAATCTACCATGCCAAATTTCATTTCTTAATTAATCTTCACCCTATCTTGAGATATTAAACGAAATAGAGATTAACACACATCCACAAAATATTTTTTTAGTTTTTTTTGACTTTTTTTGGCCTTAGCCAACTTGGCCATCCGGCTATCTGTTCTTATATTTAATATTATAGTTTTTATTTTATTATATCCTAGTGCCAAATTTTAATAAAATTGTTTATGGCTGTATAGTGTCTAAAAAGGAATCTTACCCTAACGAGAAAATCTGTTCCCACATAAAAGAATCCTCCAATAGAAATCCCTATGGGCGTTTTTCCAAATCTTTTCATAAAATTTAGTATCTGAACTCATAAAAACAAAATAAGAATATAAAAATAGCAATTCACTATTATTTTACATTAGAGAAATTGCGGCCGAAGTTTTCATCTGTAAAACGTAAACGTCGAACGTCAAGCACCGCTTACAAGATAGCGCAACCTCTCTATTAATTAAAGATGTTATATTTTTTCTTACCTTTAATTTGTATTGCAACGAGAATGGAGCCGAAGAAAATCTGTTTAACTCATTAAAATTCCCATATAACTGCAAATAAATATATAATTATATCAATTTTAATTCTGTATATTAATAAATTTAAATTTACAGAGTTAATAAATACGGGTAAAACTAACAGCAGAAGTGAATCGAGATAAGAAGTAAGCGAGGATTAAACATGCCAATCCCAAACCTGCACATATTATTAATATTAATAAGTTGAAACCTGAAGAATATTTGTAAAATACGACTGAAAATAGATAGAAGCCAATAATATGTAAGAGAA